ATCTAGGTGTTAAAACATGTTCAATTCTGAGATAACATTCATTCATTTCCATTCTGTCTCTGCTCACACTCAGCTCCCTCATAACTGTTCTAACTTTCATGTGATTTTGTAATGACTGCAGGCCCCTCAGTGTGACTGTCACAAACATCTGCTTATCTGTTTGGTCATATTCACACAGACAAAGACGCTCCTCACCTGTGCAGGTACACAAGGTGGTGGAGTCTCTGACCTTTACTGACCTCTGACCTCCTGTTACAGGTGTGTGTATGCTGCTGCTGTCTGCACCGACAGTTTCTGCAGGTGAGTAGATGGAAGTGAAAACAATCAGTGAGACTCCAACAGGAACACAAACACATTTACTGTGTGTGTGTGTGTGTGTGTGTGTGTGTGTGTCCTCCAGTGTCTCTGTCTGTTGGTCCAAACCTTCAGCAGGTCTTCAGAGGATCTTTAGTGGATCTGAGTTGTGTTGATGATGGACTGAAAGCTGATGGGTGGACAGTGAAGAGGACCAGAGGAAACGTCCCTGAGGACTGTGGGGCAGATGCAGCCTTTGGGACGCTTCCTGGTTCCTACTGTGTTGTGGATCTTTCTGCTCCCAATGAAACCTTCTGGTGTGAGGACTCCTCTGGACAGAAGAGTGACAACGTCTCCTTCAGTGTCCAATCAGAGACTACAGGTGAGATGTTCCAGCTGTGTCTCTGTCTCTGTGTGACTCTGCTCTCATTAACTCTGTTTGTCTCTGATGGTCAGAAAAAAGTGTCATCCTGGAGATCCCTGCACTTCCTGTGAGGACAGGAAGTAATGTCACTCTGCGCTGCAGAAAGAGGAATGGCGCCACAGTCAAAGCTTATTTCCACATCAAAGGAAGTTCTGTTGGTCATAAACAAGCGTACATCATCAATAACACCCAGCAGGCTGACGAAGGTCTCTACTGGTGTTCTACTGATGAGAGTGGAAAGACTCCTCGGAGCTTTCTGAGGGTCAGAGGTCAGAACACTGACATCACTTCCTGTTTAAAAAATGATGTAACAATGTGATCTGATAATAAACTGACTGAACCATCTTCATCATCTCTCCTCCAGATCCTCCCAAAATCATCCATCTTCCTCCTCCTCACTGTCCTCCTCCTCCTCACTGTCCTCCTCCTCCTCCTCACTGTCCTCCTCCTCCAAGCACCTCCACAAACTTTGTTCCTCCTGTAAAATCTCCTTTTACTTGTCCTCCCTCTCCTCCTCCTTCTCCTCCTCCCTCTCTCGTGGTCCCAGTTGTAGCAGGTCTGGTCTCTGGGCTTCTCCTGGTTCTAGTTCTGGGTTTGTTTCTGTTCCTCTGCTGGAAACTTAAAGGTATGAAAGCTCTCACTCACCTGATATGAACAGGTGTAATCTGATTACTGTGCTGACCTTCTGACCCTACATAAAAATGAACTGACTGGGTCACCTCTGTCCAGATCAGTGGGTTTTACTCATCCAAACATGCAGTCATGGTGGGTTTGAATGAATACTCGAGTGATGCTGTTCAGTGATTCTTCAATTTCCTCTGTGACCTTTCAAAATAAAATGTGTATTTGGGCCGCCCCTGACACATAAATCTATATTATATCTCAGTTTATTCTTTTAGTGTGGAAGATGTCACAATGTAGTGTAAAAAGAATAAACTGATGACATTACATTTCATCACCTTTCACTTCTTTAGGATTTATCGTAGAGCAAGGCAGAAGAGCTCCAGCTAATTCCTAGAATATGTACATTATATTAAAAACGTTTCTTCAAAGAGTCCATCATATCCAGCACAGAGTGCTTCAGTCTGTAATAACATGTTAGTGTCAACAAGCTAAATGATTGTCTTGGAAAAGCAAAAACTCTAACTAGCTAATCTTCTCAGAAAGTAACATTTAGCATAAATGTTTAATTATGTTGTAAAGTAATAAGTTACTTTTGAAGATAATGTCTCCCAACATTAGCTAACAAAACAAGGACCACAAAGATCAGTCCTAAACACAGATTTCACACATACTGAGAGTCACCACAATCATGTTCATGTGTTTCCCCCTCCTCTCTTTTCAGGAAGTAAAAACCCGTCTCCTCCTCCTGTGGATGTGACCTATGCTGATGTCACGATCAAACAGAGAGCCAACAGGAGAGGTAGGCTGTCACCATGTGTGCTGTCATCAAAATAAGACAAGCATGTTATGTAGCCACATACTGTACTCTTTAAAGCTATGTTAAAAGGAGTACTACTGAAGGCTGAAAACTACTGCCTGTATGAATGTCTGTAAATTCCAGACAAATATCCTGCTGATCTACGAGCCGTCTACTCTGATGTGAGGACTCAAACTTCAGGTACACATGAACATGTCATGTTTCGGCTGTGTGCAGGCAGGAGAAGGACCCAGACCCAAAACTCACCACACAGGAATCAAACTCAAAAAGCTGCTTTATTGCAGAATGGCACGAAAAATATAACAAAACTACACTTGGACATGGATAACTGACACACAGGGAAACACAGCCATGAGGGAGACTACAACACTAACAAAGAGAAACACGGGGCTTAAATACACAGAGGGATAACGAGGGAATGAGACACAGAAGGAGAGCACAGCTGGGAGTAATCAGGCCGGACGAGACAAGGGAAGCAAAACTAGAAACACTCACATGAGACGTGGACCTTCAAAGTAAAACAGGCAACACACTGACTGAACTCTGGACATGTAAACCTGGGGAGACAGAACATAGGAACCTGAAACATGGTACAGAAAGGCGCAGTAGACACAACATGGAACACAGTGAAGCCATATTACAAAACCTAAGACCTAAACCTATGATAACCATATCTGAATCCTAGGGAAATAATAACTATAAAGATCAAAACAGCACAACCCACATGAACATAATGAACTCGCAGGGAAAGAGTAAAACTATATACAGTGAACACAGAAACACAAGACCTCTTCAAAATAAAACAGGAAACATAAGACGCAGACATGACAACCTGAACTTGACAACGTAAGACACAGACATGAAACACATGAAGGGCAAGGGAGACTTGACAGGGGTTGGAAGACACAAGGGGAATCTAATAACAAAGAACTATAACAACCTAGGCATGATAGAAATGAACTTAGAAAACCTGAAGGGCTTAAACATAAACCATAAACAGGAACATAAACTAAAACTCAAAACGCTGGGTCAAAAGATCGTGACAGAACATAAAACAGGTGATGATGATGATTTTCTCTTACATGTTTGTTCTGTTTTTCTATTATAATTATTATTATCATTATTACAATTCTAATATTGTGTTATTGTTACTCTTAGTTTTCCCCTTCGGCGTGTCCGTTTCCACAGCTTTGTGTCATCGGTATGTTCATAAGGGATATTTACTGTGAGCATTAAACACAGGAACGTGCAGGCAATCTAAGTTACCTTCTCAGGTAACTTTATTCAATAGAATTGTACTTATATAAGATAAGCTGTACAAGGTTGTGTTCTGTTAGAAATGTTAGAAAAAGAAATGGATTTTAAGACATCAAGCTGTCTCAAAATCAGACATTTCTGTAGATGTCATGGTTGGCTGTGTGGCAGGCATGGGTAGGACCCAAACACATGAATCGGAGGCAGCAGAAATAAAGTAGCAGCTTTATTGCTGATTTACTAAACTCAAAGTCAGGTACAAAGAAAATGTAAAAGAAACAAAACTGAAGAAAACCATTAATCAACAT